CTTTCCAATAATCAAAAGGCTTACCTTTTGTGATAGTGAGATTTCCATCATCATGCCCTAGTTTGAGTAACCATTCATTAGGATCATTGTAGAGGAGATTCCTATGTTGGGGAAGGAGTTTTGACTATTATTTCATTATGGCTTAGTTATTATTTCTTCCAGATTTTTTTCCTATCAAAAATGGTGTGCTTCAATAATATTTTAAAATTGTTAAAGTGTGCTCTGATTTTCTTATAATACAGATTTAAGAAGTGAACCTCTTTTTTTAATAAATGCTCTCTCCCGTATGTTAAAAGTGTATACAACGTATAAAGTCAACATTACAGATTGATCCACAACTGATATCACTAATCATTATAAGTGTTAATTAAAATTTTAGTTATAGTATTTTGACTGCCTTTCTAGATATTTGAAAAACAAATTCTTGAGGTTTCATTAGTTGACTTGAATCCTTGAAAATATATTCATGGTAGCATCTTGAATATCTTCTCAGTTTTCTTGTGGCAAATGTATTCGGCATCTGTTGAGGTTGAGCTGGGCTTAAAATGGAAAACACTCATTGGCTGATAATGATAATTGGTTTTTCTCCCACAGAAGGCATTTTTTAAAATAAGGTCAGATCCTCCATTTTTTTCCTTTTCACCTGCTCCTGTCTTCTTGGTTTATTGAATTTAAAAGTGAGGCTTATATTCAGAAAAGAGTTCCTAAGAGGAAATGAAGAAGTCATTCTCCTATACTGTCTACCTGCTCTCTCTCTGGCTGCCATATTGAAAGAGACTTGGGTACAGGTCATTGAGTTTTTGCAACTGAACATTTTCTATCTCATAACCTTTCCAGAAGGGCTGTCATTAGTTCCTCCATATGTTTGGTTATGCTTTTAGCTTATAAAAACATCACCATACAAAATTGCATCTTAGAGAAAAAAGACAATAATTCTCAAATTATACTTGACATTTGTAAATTTGCTTTGCGAGCACTTCACACTTCATTGAGAAGTCATACACAATTATCAAGTCATTAGCATAGACATTTTAAGTAGGAAATTTCAAAACACAAGTTAGAGAGTTATAAACAAAGAGGCAGCTAGCATTGGGTGCTCTCTTGTTCTTAGACTGTTGACTGTTTATTCAAATGTTGGCAGAAGTGTCCCTGTGAACAAGTGTATGAGTTAAGGATTGCATTTGGCTGCTAGTAATAACAACTTAAAACTGAATAAATCCTATCCTACTTATTTTTATGCCACGTGGAAGAAGAAGTCTGCAGGTCCCCAGTTCAGGTATAGCAGCTCTACAGTGCCGACAGGGGTCCAGACCCTTCTAGCTTTCTCTTCTGCCATCTAAAGGTGATTCTTACTTAGAGTACTGCTCTCAACAGTAGATTGAATGTTTATATAATTATCACCTGGAGAACAAGAATACATCATGGCTATTTGAAGGTTAATTCTAATCATGGCATGAAAAAAAAATGAATTAGAGGGGGGCAGTGTTTGTGATGGATGTTCAGCCTAAAAGTGGATAATGGGGCTATGTGCAAGAGAAGAAATGGTAATGAGATCAGTTACAGAAATATTTAGAATTCTGCCTATTTCTATGTTGTAGTTAAGGTAGGTAGGAGAAAAAAATGAACAAAGGGTAAGTATGAGGGCCCATATGTATAGATCAAACTTCACTGACAAACATGATAGTATCTGCCTGAAACAGTAGTAATGATACCAGAGTAGAAAACTGTGATTTCTAAGTGATGGTCCGGTTCAGTGATAATAATATACGGGCATGTTAGAAAATTAGAGGCTCTGGGAAATCCCACAATGATGATGAATTGTTGAAACATTAAAATTTTGCTTTACCCAATGTTTCCCAAACTTATTTACTGTGTTTAGTCTTGTTTGCTTTAAACAGAATGGCTTTATGCATCCTGAGAAAGCATTTGGGGAATACACTACCAGTTCTTAGTGCTTACCTCGTTAGAAGACTGTGCATGTGCCTTTAGGATACAAACATTGATGTGTGGCATTCCCTCAGTTTAAGCTCCAGTGCACTGTAATACATATAAGGTTTTAGCTGATGGAGAACATGACTTTTTTTTTTTTAAGATTTTATTTATTTATTTCACAGAGAAAGAGACAGTGAGAGAGGGAACACAAGCAGGGGGAGTGGGAGAGGGAGAAGCAGGCTTCCCGCTGAGCAGGGAGCCTGATGCGGGGCTCGATCCCAGGACCCTGGGATCATGACCTGAGCCGAAGGCAGACGCTTAACGACTGAGCCACCCAGGCGCCCCTTCTTTTTTTTTTAAGATTTATTTCACAGAGAGAGAGACAGTGAGAGAGGGAACACAAGCAGGGGGAGTACAACATGACTTTTATTCTTCAGGTTCTGACAGCCTAATAAAGATTGCCATATAGATAAAAATAAACTTAAATCGAGGGGCTTGTTCCTATAACTGAATTGTAGTCACTCATATTGTCTTTTAGTCTGGTGAAAACACTTGTTATCACCTAGGAAAACATTTGAATAGACTAAGAAACATTTGAATAGACTAAGAGACTTAGCTGGATGATGGCCTGAACTCACATGCAGAAGACTTTAACACTATGTATGTATAACACATTTGCATAGTTAATTAACTTACTGATTGTGATCACTTACATCTTTGAAAGTAATCTCAGTGCCCTGCAAAAAGAAGTTATTTTTAATTCTCTTAAACATTTTTTTGTCGTTGCATGCCAACAAAAATGTTCTTAACATGTAGGTCCAAAATTGCGTCCTGTATTGGGGAAAATAATATAATCACTCTATAAACATAATAGGTTCAATGGCTGATTGAAAGCATGTTTAGCCAAGTTTTTCGACAGATTTCTTCAGTGGCTTTACTTAGGGTTACCTGTTCTATAAAGCTTTAAAGAAACAAGATGGAACTTGAAAAAAAAAACCTTCAAATTCTTTTCCCACGTGTAGTGCTTCAGCAATAGTTGATACTGTACCAAGATTATATTCCAGAATTGATCTTGAGTAGGTTGATTCATACGCATCTCTTTGGTTCCTCAGACATAAAAGTACAATTGGAATACAATTAACAATTTTAATGACCAAGAAAAGTAACAAGGAGAAAGACAATTTCATTATCCAGACCTGTGAAAACTTTCTCTTTTTTTGAACAAGAACATGAAACTAAAGTCAACAAAATATTTATTTGAAGTTTTCAGGAATTTGAGTTTTTTGAAGTATGTATACTGAACGAATATTCTTGTGAGTGACAGTTAATCTCATGCTTTCTTTTGCTGTTTCAACATTTGTTAAAGAATTTTCTAAAGTAAAGGACCAAATCACTTTTTTGGTAACAAAGCCTTAAAGCTATTGGAGTGATCATGTTGAATATTCTTAGTATTTGGCATGATACTTGTAGAAAGTATCGGTAGTTTGATTAAGTTTACACGTTTCAGGTGTATACAGAAAGTTTTCTATTTTAAATGAATCCTTATTAGTGAAATTTTTTGACTAACTTTTTTTTCCTAAGTACTTAGTTCTGGGCAAAGAAGAGTCCGTTCATTATAGCTTCATTATAGGTTTCACTTTGTGAATACAGGGTGATGGTGGTTTGGCCATTATTAAAGAAACTGAAAATATTGTATACTGATGTTTGAATTGCTTCTCAGACCAGTAAAAATTTTTGGTTCACAGACTCTTTCATTCATTAACGAATTTGAAGAAGATAATTGGATATTCTGCACTACTTCTTATTTTGAAGGACAAAAACTCGTACAACTCTTACTCTTTTGATTACCTCCTAGACGTGGTTAGTTGCTACCTTTTATATTATCATAAAAATGTGTGATTCTTTTGTTCTTGATTCAGAAAAGGGGGTGAGAAGCTGAGTGAAAAGAAACCTTGAAAAATAGTGATTTCCTTATACATGATTTGAAAGAATTTGTATCATTTTATATGAAATACCTATGTGTTCTTCTTTCCTGTAAGTGTGTCTGTATTTGATTTATGGTGTATATTTTGTTCTGACTAAATCTAAGCATGAAAACTAATGAACTTCATTATGTGGAACATACAGCTTTGAGAACACTATTAATACGGTACTGTAAGGTAACTAGACGCTGTAATTAGTTATTTTGCTTGGCTTTAATTAGAAGCCCCTGAATTGTCTTCTGGTTTCAGGATGAGCCCATGGAGCGCTGTGAGCAGTGCTCAGATGTGTGTAACAGCAGAGGAGCAGTTGAGGAATTAAAGACTAGCTATTAGCCCCACCTCTGTACCTGATTGCATGGGCCTGAAAAAGTTGCTTAACATCTGTGAGCCCTCATTCATTTATCTGTTAGATGGGATGATTCCTGCCTTGGCTTGTATCGTGGTTAGGATCAGGGGAGCCAATAAAACAGAACATACTCTGAGAGGAAGAATATACTCTTCAGCAGCAAGGAAGAACAGTGGGGAAAAATGGGGGATTGCAAACCTCTTTAGACTTCGATTTGGCAACTCAGATGTTTTAAAACTGTAACATTTTATCATTAGAGTCTATTGTGAGCCATAGGCTTTGAAATTTTACATGTAATTGGAACTTACACATCTGGAATCAGAGATAGTAAGTTCAGTATTTTCATATACTGATGTTTGCAATCAAATTATGGTTACATATTTTCATGTTGAAGTAAAAAATCCAATAAATGGACATACATTGCTTAAGGATATGAAACCTGTGATACAAAGGTAAAATAGTGAAACTTTTTGCAAAATGATCTTTAGAACTTTGATTTACTTGGTTCCTAATTGGACTCTAGTAGTCCGTGTAACACATGCCGTACTGAAGTCTAAAGACACACCCATAAAAATGCACACACACAAGAATTACTTATTTTGAACTTTGATGGACCTTTATGTAGCTAGAAGGAGGACACCATTGTGTCCTTTTTAGGATTTTTGTAAGTACTATTACATAGCTAGTTTTGAAACTTAAGTTTTAAAAGTAAAATAAAAAATTTTTGTTTATTTTTACAGGATTTGAAACAAAACTCACAAGGTTCTCTACCACAAAAAAACTGTAATAACACTGAGTGCAGAGCCAAGGTAAATACATAATTTCTCATACACTTTGCTACTGTTCTGACTTGACTTTTTTGCTTTTCATGTTTCTTTTCCCTAGCCAGGATATACTTTGAGGCAGTATTTTGTTTAATAAATTTATTAATTTAAAAAAAATTTTTGAAGAAATGGATTTTTCTCCCATGACTGTCATGTTCAATGTTAATAGTTAACACAGTGTTTGATACATTAATTGCTGAATGAACAATTACAACTATTTTTTTACAGATATTTGGTATGGGATCATAAATATGATTTATGATTATGTTTTTTCTTAACCCTTTGTTAACTTATCTTTTCATTGATCCCTGATCCCATTTTTAAAATGAAGGAAGAAACTTAATTATGAAAAGTTCCTACTATAAATTGCTTACTAGATAACTGTCATTGTGCTGGCCAGACTGTCTCATTTTGGCATTGTGGATTTATGTTAAGGCAAATGGGAAGGGTGTTCAGTTGACCTGAAAATGGGGCGATTAATTGGTGGCTGCCTCTGATTTATAAAGAAATGTTTTGTGTTTTTATTGGTAATCATTTAACCAAGTCTTCTGTTTTAAATGACCAAATATCACTAGGTCAGTACCCACTATCCCCAGATACACACTATATTCTTATATAATATAACTTTTTGCTATCTAAATTGAGAAATTTAGTATGTACAAATTGTAGGATAAAAAAATAATTGTAAAGGATAATTCATGATTTTAGGTATTCTTTATTAGAATTATTTTAAAATAAATGGAATCAAAGTATTACAGAAAATTTACAATTGCTAATAAAATTGGCATTTTGGTTACTCAGAAAATAAAGCCTTAGTTTGCTAAATCTCTTCAGGAAGTAGAGACTTAAAAATGTATACAGCTCATACCTTAGAACAAGAAGACAGGTATTTTTTAGTAACACTAAAGTATCACTAAAGTAATGGTAAAGAAATCCTACATTTCTTTCTTTTGGCCAGAAAAAGAAGGGATTAACTGGAAAAGACAGTTTAAGTCTCAACTTTGAAGTCCTGTTGCAGGCTTACCAGCTTTCAGGTTGCCAAGTCATAAGAGAGTAATGATACTCCCATTACAAAATGTTTTCTTTGTCTTAAAATATGTAATATTTTGATGTAGTTGAGGTTGTGTGGCTGTTCCTTAACTATTTTGCCCCTAATAAACTCTGGTATTAGGCATAATCCCCCTTTTTCTATTTTGGTAGGGGAAGATCTTTGTTTCTGCTGACTGTAAGAATGCCTTATGCTTGCTATAAATAATTTATGCCCCTTCCCCACCCCATTAGTCTTCCTCTGGGTGAATGGTAGGGTGGGTGGGATGGAGCCCTAATGGGTTACAAACCCTATGGCTTTTCTTCTTCCTCTATTGTCCTTGCTTTAGCCAGGAGTAAGTGGTATTTTAGCTCTACTTATGCTGGAGGAAGAAAGGAGATCCAGGTGTATTAACTAAGAAGAAATATATTTTGAGCTTTAATATTGAGGAGTTTTAATTATACATCAACGTAAATAGCATTTTGGGGACTATTAGTAAAATGATTGCTTTCTGATATTTCCTTTTAAACAGTTTGTATTTAAATAGTGTTCTTCATCTTAATATTACTCCTTCACAGTTCTTTTCTACCAAATGTCAGTGCTACTACTGTTTCTGTAGTTAGGTGAATTGGGAGTACTTAGGATTGTCAAGTTCTTATTTGTATCTTTATTATCTGTTTTGTACTTGAGGACCTCATGAATAGAACTACTTATACTTCTGGTTTTAAAATCTATATTTTACTTGTTAGCCTCAAATAATCTGAGCTGATCTCTCAACAAAATCAGAGAAGAATGGAGGAATGACAGTGGCCTTTAAAATGGAAGAATTTCATAGTTTTATTTAGCAGATACTGAAAGTGATATCATTGCACTTCTCAGTCTTGAAGTTGAAAGTTTCAGGAGTATGGTCATGAGTCTTTCTCATGTTCTTCATGAGTCCCTATATAATGATCTAAGGCTTAGCATTATTTTGGCGATAAGAATAATTCTTGTTTGAGCAACAATTTATTAATCTAAATAAAACATGCATTCTCAGTGAGAGAGACATCCTCCTTAGGAGGGTAAAAATTGGTTCTTGGGGAGTTTGAAAAAAAGTATTTTTTTAAATATATAAAGCATAAAAATAGTACTCAATAGTACAATAACAGATATACTTTTAAGTGTATTAAAATTGTATGGGGGGATGATTAACAAAAAATGTCTAAAGAGTCTTTAAGGAGTTATGTGAAAAGTCTGAGAAATACTGATCTAACTCACACAATTTCATAGATATTTTTTTTTAAGTTTTTATTTATTTGACAGAGAGAGACACAGCAAGACAGGGAACACAAGCAGAGAGAGTGGGAGAGGGAGAAGCAGGCCTCCCGCTGAGCAGGGAGCCCAATGTGGGGCTCGATCCCAGGACCCTGGGATCACGACCCAAGCCAAAGGCGGACACTTAATGACTGAGCCAGCCACGCGCCCCTAACTCACACAATTTCAATAATACATGTAAATGACTTTGATCATGCTGTTTGGCAACATTAGTTATAGCTATAACCTAACATAAGTTAGTTTGGGAGTCTTTAAAAAGGAGTGGCTAATCTGCTCATGGGGATGTGGTACATATCTGTGAGCCTGACTGAGTTCACAAGGTTGGGTAAGCTCTATAGTATATGCATTCATAGTCTTTATGTGGAAAGAAGGTATAATTGAGAGTTAAAAGTTAGGGCACCCTGAACAAGTCATAAATTTTCTAGCCTTAAATAATCCTTTAATGTACCGAGGTGTTTCTTTTCCTCCAAGGCCCAATTGTAAAAAAAAACTGTAGTACAAAGATTTACAGGATTAGGGACGTGGAGGACCTAGAGGATGGAAGGTAAACTCCTAGGACAGGCAGGGATTTCAGTCTCCTTTCAGTGTTTAGTACTTGAGGCAGGATGGAAGCAAATATCACCGCAGCCCAGGACGCCAAATCATGTGTTTTGACAACGTGTGAAGGAACTTTTTTTTTAAATGTGGATAATTTGAAATGCCACGGAGTATACAACTAAAATCTGAAACTTTTGTAAATCTGAAAATTTAATTTTTCAAGTAGAAAACTTTTAGTTTGAGAGCAATTTATTCAAACCCATTACAAATTTACCATTAAGTGCTTTTAATGTTTAACAAGGCGTTTATTGGTAAGGGATTTTTGGCCAGAAAAAAGAAGGGATTAACTTCAAATGAAACCACCAACCATGTGGAGACACAAAAGAAGTCCTTGTTTTTGGGGCTTGGGTGACTTTAGAGTATCAAACAGATATTAAAAGTACTCAGTTCCAGAAAAGGCACTCAGTACCTCCATTGTCATGTGCTTGTTGTAATGGTTCTTCCTGGATGGCTGCCCAGCACCTCTAATTTAATTTCCTCTTGTTTTCTCCATGTGTGCTTTCTTTTTGGATCCTAATCTTTATTAATAGCATCATTCTCTTTTTGGTTGTCTAGGTGCTGAAAAATAGTCTTTATATGGAAAGCAGGTACAATTAAGAGTTAAGAGTTAGGACACCCTGAACAAGTCATAAATTTTCTAGCCTCTAGAACCCACTTTGACTTCTACCTTTTCTTGTTCTTTTAAGTTTCATCAGCTGGAAAGTGTTTTGAATTTTCCCCTCTGCTCACCTCTGACATTCTTCGTCTCCTGTCTTCCTATTACTTTCTGGTTTTAAGGCCTCTATTATGATTTTTTTTTAAATGTTTTACTTGAACTACTGCAATGACTTCCTGCTCTTCTGTCTTCAGTTTCTCTCTGCCCCTGATTTATTGCATGTAGTTGTCACAGGAATCTACCCATAGCGGAACGCAAGAAAGACACCTGGGTGGAAGCAGCAAGGCTTCTAGGACCTAGCCTCAGAACTCCTAGAAGGTCCTTTCCACTACATTCTTAGTGAAGCAAGTCACTAGTGTCAGCCAAGATTCAGGGGGAGGGAATTATTCTCCATGACTTGAAGGGAATGATGGCAGTCATCTTTGGAGACGGTCTACCACAGTTTATCCACTGGCCACTACAATTCACATACAATTCACCATGTGCACAATATTCCACCTCCTCCCATGATGCCAAAGTGCCATCCCATTATGGTACTGGCCTCAAATTTTCATCTAAATCAGATCCAAAATGACTCAATCATGTAACTGGGAATTGATGTTTTCTTATTTCTCTCAGTATAATAATTATTTGAAGTTAATTCTGCTAAACTGTAAACTCCTTGACAGTAGGAACTATTTCTTTTATTTATTTCTCCCACCATGCCTGTGGAATTGCAGTCAACATAGTAAGAATTGAATAAAGACTTGTTGAAATACAATTAATTACTGATTGAAGAGACTATTAAACTTCAGACACCAGATATGCGTAGACATTCTATGTGAAGATGTGGTATCCTGGTATATCTTCTCTCCAAATAGTTCTTTCATCTAGTATTTGGAGTTTGGATGCCAGAGGGCTTCTGAATACACTAAATAATACTACAAGCAAAAATAAATAACAACTCAAAGCTTTGAATTTGCTCAACATTTGGACAACTGTTCATTGGAGATTATAGAGTTTCATACCATGGGACCTGAAAAATTTTAGGTTGCCTCTCAGCATCATTGCATTCTTACAGAATTACCTTTGTTGAGATTGCTTTCTTGAAGGCTCTTTAGAATGGGTGGGTTCAAAAGATACTCCCAAATATCTAAATGAGTTGACTTGATCAGATGACTTTTTTCGTTTTTAGATTTTATTTAAATTGAAGTTAGTTAACATACAGTTTATTATTAGTTTCAGAGGTAGTATTTAGTGATTGATCAGTTGCCTATAACACCCAATGCTCATTACATCAAGTGCCCTCTTTAATGCCCATCACACAGTTACCCCATCCCCCCCACATCCCCTCCAGCAACCCTCAGTTTGTTCCCGGTAGTTAAGCATCTCTTGTGACTTGCCTCCTTCTCT